TGTGAGTGTGAGTGTGTGAGTGTGTGTGTGTGTGTGTGTGTGTGTAAATGCCTACAGACTCAAAGAATTTCCTCGAGTACGGACAGCAGCACCATTCGCTGTTTCTCAGACCACAAACATCACAGAAAATAACTGTTTCCTGTCTTCTCTCTCTCTCTCTCTCGTTGTCTTCAGTGGCAGAACTTCCTGTGTAATGAAGCACAAGATGAAAACAGGAAGTAACTCGTCCATGAACACACGCAGCTGCCCTTCCCCCAGCGCCGCCACTCACATAAGCTGTGTATGCTATTTGTTTAGTTTTATTCATCAGTGATGATTCATATCCGCTGGGAAAGACTGAAATGTGAATAGGGTTTTTTTGGTGAAGCTAAACAAACGTCCTTTATGTTTTCCAGACTCAAGTTCTAGTTTAAAGCAAGACACAACTGGGGTAAAAATGTTAACAGATCTCACCATACTTCCCTAGTTAAAGAATGACAATCGTTTTGTTTTACAAGTTTTCAAGTAAATTTGTGAGTGAGGCATACTCTAATTAAATACACACTAATTTGCATAGATTTCCAGAAAGGAAGCATTTAGTGTCATGTCTTAAAACATCAATTTTAATGTTTATATATGAAAAAATAGAAACATTTCTATTTGCTCTGAGAACAATTAGTGAATAATGTGAAACAAAATCTGAAATTTAGCCAAATTTAGATTCAGATGGGATTCAAATACATTATTTTTGAATGCTATATAATTATTTTTTATTATAAGACAGAAATGTATTTTTGACATCTGAATACAGAATTGAACTCGACTCGGTTTGGTTTGCAGTGTCACTGTGGGATCTGATTGCAGTGCATTCATGCATGTTTACAGCTCTGAAGATAGTGATAAATGTACTGCAGGTCAATGGTACATATCATATGATTCACACCCTGATACCAGAGAACACGCATGATGAATCAGACATATGTGTGCAATGACGAAAGGATGTTCAATTCTTTATGCCAGTGAACTTGAATAGAATAGAATAGAATTTCAGACTCATTCCACCCACTGCTAACCACAGTGACTTCAGTGTCAAAAAGCTGAAGGAGTGTTTGGAATTTCAACTAGTTTTAGCCACCCACAAAACAGCAGTGAAGAAACTCCAGCTGCACTCACACACACAGGGAATCATGGGTAATGAATGAGGTGATGTGAAGTTTCCAGAGCTGCTGAATGTCTGATCTGACACACACACGCCTGCACTTCCGGCTGCTCTCTGATTGGTTCTGACTGTTCTGCCTTCCCTTAGCAACAGGGACTTTAAATGGCAACAAAAACAAAGTTTCTCGGAAGTCAGCTGACGGTCGAGTGTGTGTGTGTGTGTGTGTGTGTGTGTGTGTGATTTATGAGGACATTTTCAGTGTCCCCGTAATTCAAAACGCTTATAAATCACACAGAATGGAGTGTATTGAAAATCTGAAATAGCAGAAAGTTTCCTGTGAGGGGTAGGTTTAGGGGTAGGGTTGGTGTAGGACAATAGAATATACGGTTTGTACAGTAGAAAAACCATTACGCCTATGGAGAGTCCTCATAAACCATAAAAACAAACCTGTGTGTGTGAAACAAACTTTATTATATTTTATATTAACCCTTTTAAACTTAACTTATATAAAACCAATTTTTTTATTATATTTTATATTAAACTCAAACTTTTTAAACTTAAAAACTTTTAAATGAAACCTAAACTTTTAATTATAATTTATATTAAACTTGGCATCAATTATAATTTATATTAAGCTTAACTTTTTATTAAACTTTTTAAACTTAAAAACTTTTATATTAAACTTAAACTTTTTATTATATTTTACATTTAACTTAAACGTTTTCAACTTTAAAACGTTTATATAAAACCTAAATTTTGTATTATATTTATATTAAACTTAGCATTTTTTAAATATTTTATATTAAACAAACTTTTTAAGCTTAAAAACTTTTATATAAAACCTAAACTTTTTATTATATTTTATATTAAACTTTACTTTCTATTATATTTAATATTCAACTTGAACTTTTTAAGCTTAAAAACTTTTATATTAAACTTAAACTCTTTATTATATTGTACTTTAAAATTAAACTTTTGAAACCTTTATATTAAACTTAAACATTGTTATTATATTTTATATGAAATGTCAACTTTTTATTATATTTTACATTAAACTTCATGCCACGCTTTATACATTTTTTTTGCAGTTTTTTAAAATATGGCTCCATTTCTCAAAACTCTACACACAAAACCACAAAACAATTCAATTCAATTCAAGTTCATTTCTATAGCACTTTTCATGAGGCAAATCGTTGCAAAGCAGCTTTACAGAAAATGAAAGTTTCTATATTATATTTAGTAATAGCTTATCTCAAACTGATGTCCATATGGCAGTAATGTACAGTAAAATTCAAGCAGTTAGTTAAAGACGTAATAAAACAGACGATGAACACTATTAACAGCAATTATTATATGATGCAATCAAACTTATAGCAAAATGTGGTAGTTCTGTATGTTGTTTCAGGGTTGGCATCATCTGAGGTCCTCTGAGGGGTTGGCATCATCTCTTCTCAGGTGTTCTGGATCCAGACTGAAGCTTGTGTAAATCCTAGTTACCACGGGATGTCAATCCCAGCAGAAACAGAGAAACAAATAGAGACATAATTAGCGTAGCTGCTGTTCCAACCAAGCACAATTGATTTGTTTAACCCAAACTAAAGAATAATAATGTGCATTTGATCAGATATAACTGCAGTAAAAGATTATGAGATGCATTATTTGAATGCTTGGCCAAAGAGATGTGTCTTTAATCTAGACACAGTTCGGTGAGTTCCATCACGATATATACGTCATTCAAGCCGACCAATCAGGTTGTGAACGTATCACTATGCCTTTAGGTTCGGTGTCTTTAGGTTTGCTGTCAAAAATGCCAATGTGAACGCTTAGCGGACCAGGACCAAATGTATTATTTTCCTTTTTGGTCCGGACCAAACGAACCGAACTCCAAGTGTGAACACACCCTTAGACTCTGTCTATGTCTGGTGACAACTTCCCTATATGATACAAAATAATTTTCATTGCATTCATATAAATCTCAACATAAAATCTTATGTTGATGGAGAAAAAATTGTTTATGGACACGCTAATAAGTATACAGTACATTATATATTTTAATCTCTCTTTTTAAGGGTTCGCTCCTTAATAATCCAGCAAGAGAAAGCCCAGGATCGGGAAAAACTACTTTTAAAGTTTATCAAAATAATGAAGGTACAAACCAATTTAATTCTTCCAAACTTAATCTAATCTGAATCTAATCTAAATGAACCTGTGTCTCTTTGTAATTTAGCACTTAAGAAAACTCAATAACTTCAACTCCTACTTGGCAATATTATCAGCGCTGGATTCGGCGCCTATCAGAAGACTGGAATGGCAGAAGCAAACATCGGAGGTAAATCACGAACTCCAGAGCTGGGTAGATGACTTACAAATTGTAGTCCGTTACTGATTACAGATTACATGATGAAAACTGTAGTTAGTAACATAATCTAGGTTACTCACTTTAGGTAATGTATTCTTTAGTAGACTCTTTTTTTTATTAAACTTGTTTTAATTTACCATTAAACATACCATATTGATATAAAAAAGCAAAGAGAGCTATTCCTTGAAATATTTCTTTCTTTCTGTCTGTCGTCAAAGCTGAATGGGATTTTTAGAAAGGAAAGAAAGTTAGGGAGAATCAATAAATTATGAATAATTTACTGCCATTGTGGGAATAATATGTAATCATGTAATCCATAAAAAGTAACAGTAATCGGATTATGAGCATTTTAAAATGTAATATACTTGAATTACAAGTACTTAATTTTTGGACTCTTGATTATGTAATCCAGATTACATGTAATCAGTTACTACCCAGCACTGCCTGTCTCTATATTATTGTAGTGCTCAGTCGATCGTCACAGTAACTGATATCTGTTATCTTCACAGGGTTTGGAGGAATATTGCACTTTAATTGACAGTTCCTCCTCCTTCCGGGCGTACAGAGCAGCTTTGGCAGATGTGGAGCCTCCATGTATACCGTATCTGTAAGAACAGATGTTAAGCATTAAAAAGCACATTTTGTATTGCTTGTAAAATGTCATATTCATCTTTAACGACTCTTTC